GAGTGCTGGGGTTACAGGCATACACACAATGTCCAGCTATTTGTTTCTTTTCAGAATGCTAAAAGCATAAGTGAAAGAAAAGGTTCAACAAAAACTGTAAAGAGTTAACAATTGGCTTGAAGTAATTAAAGGTAACTTTATAATTTCTTATGTTAGATTTTGAACAGTTAGATATGAAACAGCTATATAAAGTATAAGGCAAAGAATCTAGATTTAGATGAAGTCACTCAGGTGGAAAAAACAACAGTAAAGGCTCAACTGAATTGGCAGTAAATACTTAAGGACTATGTAAAAACAAGATTAGCATAAAGCAGAGATTGCTGCCTTACAAAACTTTTATAGCCTCAAGCTTACATTTATTAAGCCAGTTATAAAGAAGTTGAGGGCTTGGGTAAGAGAAATAAGTAATCAAGATAGGAGACTCAAGTTGAGTTCAAAAGTGAATACTGGCCACATGGTAAAACAGCTTAGCTTCCTGTGCCTTTTCTGAGCCTGTGTTTTCATCTTGGTTCTTGTGTAGCCCATGACGCCAACTCAGGTTGTTAATACAGTGGAACCACACTGACAGGATGGGAGCTGATTATTCTATTTTTCTAGCTCATATAATTCTGAAGCTGATCATTCTGTGTTTGTATAATCTACATCTGAAGTTAACAAGAATGTTCTCCATTCTGCGATCAACAGTGGTTTTAAATTCACCAGTGTAACTGTATTTCATCATCCCAGTTAGAAACTGAACAGTGGGCCAGGGATATAGCTCAGTGGCACAGTGCCTGCCTGGCCAAGTGCAAGCTCCTGGGTTCGATTCCCAATGCCAAGAAGAAAAAAAGAAACTGAACAGTGGCTTTGGAGCATGGCCTATTAAGACATTAGTCTTCGCTACTCTTTTTGGCATTGTTGATGCTCCAGGTGGTACAGAAAGATGGAGGAGAGGATGAGAGGGTCCATAGAGTTACTATAATGTGTCTTTAAGAAGTAGCTCTTGAGGACAGGCATGGTGGTACACACCTATAATCCCAGCACTTGGAAGGCTGAGGCAGGAGGATCACTGTGAGTTCAAGGCCAGCCTGAACTACATAGTGAAACCCTGTCTCCAAAAAAAAAAAAAGTAGTAGCTCCTAATACGGTGAAATGTGACAAATTTAAGATTATAATTCAAGTTGTCATATCTGGAAAAGACTTTAGGCTATTTTACAGTTTACTTTCTATGAATTGTTTTAATTCTGCTTTGCAAGCCAAAGTTATTTACAGTCATTCTTATGAAGTTAGCTGTCAGGTGTGGTTGTGCATACCTGTAATCCCTGCACTTGGGAGGTAGAGGCAGGAGAATCCCTGGGAGTCAGGGCTACAAAGTGAACTGCATAATGAAACCCTGTCTCAAAAAGACGAAAAACAAAACAAAACAAAAATTAGCTAAGTCTAGGTCTCCTTGTGTCTGTTATTTGAGGAAGTGTTTTCTTGCAGGGCAAACATTTCTTACAAAGTATTTCTGGGTAAGCTAAGTTGGAATTATTTTGAAAAAGATTATGTCCCATTAACCTATACTTTAAGCATCTTTAAAAAATGCATATTTAAAATAAGTTGTATTTTTAAAATTTGTTATTACTAGCTGTCACTTTGGGACGGGTCAAAATATACAAGTAAATGCAGACAAGACAGTATGTAGTAAATAGTCTCTCTAAATTTGGTAGCATGAATCTAGATTTTATGTTATCTGTTGACCAGAAGGGAACATTTTTAATAGCTTTGTTCTATTCATTCTGCTTTCTCTATAGGTGGTTGTTCTGGTAATTTGTCATACAGTATTTTTCTTTTTGTAAAGCTGTGTAGTATCTCTTTTGATCTTTTAGAATTTGTTTTTCATTTGAATTTATACAATAGCTTTTTCTTTTCTGTCTCTCCTTCCCCTATTATTCTTTTCCACCTTCCATAGTTAGTTCTTATTTATTCTACTTTTGAGTTGTATATACTTTCTGGTAGTTTTACCAGATTTTCCTTGGTCTTCTTTTTTTTTTTAAACTTTTAGTACTGGGAATTAAATCTAGGGCCTTGAATATGCTAAGCAAGTACTCTACCATTGAGCTACACTTCATCTTAGCTAAGAGGCTGAGAAGCGTTTACCACTGAGCTGTATCTTCAGTCCTTTTTATTTTATTTTGAGACAGAATGTTGCTAGGTTGCCCTGTTTGGGCTTAAATTTGCAGTCTTCCTGCCTTAGCCTCCCAAGTGCTAGCCACGCCTGGCTAATTATCTATTGTTGCTTAATGAGTTACTGCAAACATAGCACTTTTTTCTCAAATTAAAAGAGGAAAACTTTTATTTTGGCTCTGTTTTAGTGGCTCTAAGGCAGCATGGCAATAGCTGACAAACATAGCAATTTAAAACAGCACATTTACTCTTTGGCTTTTTCTGTGTGTTGGTAGTCTTGACTATAGCTTAGCTGGTCCCTCTGCTTTCAGCCTCATAAGGCTACATCAAGATACTGGCTAGGGCTTGCCAGTATGGTGGTGTGGCTCCTGATGTGGCTCAGTGGTAGATGTTGGCCAGACCTAGCTTACCAGAAACATGACTAGGGAGGGAGCCACTTTTAAGCTTTCCTCAGCTTCTTGGAAAAGTTTTTTTCCTTGCAGCTCTAGCAAGATGGGTTCTACACTCTTACGTATCACATACACTTATTGTGTATATCCCACAATTAGTTAGAAACAAATCAACACTTTTTCCACACTCAAGGGAAGAGGTGTTACACAAATATATAATACTAGAAGGTGTGGATTATGGGTTCACCTTAAAGTGAATCTGTCACTATTCATTTTTATTTCGTTTTTGGTTTTCACTATTTCTTTTATCTCTTACTGCTTCCCTCCTCTTGCCAGAGGTTAAAAAGAGGAGAAGGAAGGAAGGAAGGAAGGAAGGAAGGAAGGAAGGAGGGAGGGAGGGAGGGAGACAGAGAGAGAGACAGAGAGAGAGAGAAAGAGAGAAAGAGAGAAAGAGAGAAAGAGAGAGAGAGAGAGAAAGAAAGAAGATATAGTATAATTTCTGGTCCTTTCTCTTGTAGTGGGGTTAAAATTGAATTCAGTGGATCCAACAATGAGCATTGATCTTAAATACCTGGGAGTACAGCTACCTTTGGCTCCAGCCACGAGCTTCCCTTTTTGGAACCTTACAGGCACCAACCCTGCCTCTCCTGGTGAGTGTAGCATTTGTAAAGTCAAGCACAGTTTAAAGTTTGGGTTATTTGTGATACAGATAAAAAGCTACCATATTTTGGAGATACGTAGGATTTTAAAGTATATCTTTTGTTTCTTGGCATAATGTTCATAAATAATTTATACATTTTAGATGAAGTCTTAGTAATTTGGCATATGCTATTGGCTTGCTAGAATGTTGGTCATCTCTTTTATTTTCTTCTATAGATGCTGGATTTCCCTTTGTTTCTAGGACAGGCAAGACGAATGACTTTACCAAGATCAAGGGATGGAGGGGAAAATTTCATAGTGCTGCTGCATCTAGAAATGAAGGTAATTAATTTTTTGAAAAATTCTAAATGTTTTGGAGTCAAAACGTTGTAGCCCAAACCTTGTGTTAAAAGTAAGCCTTGTTTAACCATTTTTTCTTGCTCTTCTGTCCACACTTAAACTGAGCTGAAAGTGATTATCTTGCTGACTTCTGTTTCTGCATAGCCTGAACTCTTAAGGTTCAGTTGCCAGTCATGTGAGGCTTAAGTAATACCTACATTTTTCAAACTGTATCTCATTCTGCTATTCCTTTTTTTTTTTTTTTTTTTTTTGGTTTTTCTCCGGTACCGGGAATCGAACTCACGACCTTGCGCTTGCCAGGCAAGGGCTTTTGCCGCTGAGCTAAATCCCCAGCCCCCCATTCTGCTATTCCTGTAGTTACAAAAATAAAGTGAAACTTTATTTTAGAACTGTATATATACATTAGAGGTATATAGTAATTCCTTATAATTTCATACTTAAAAGTATACTTGATCCAGGTGTTTGACAGTGTGCCTACCATTAAGTCTAGTGCTTTTATCCCTACATTTGTTTGCTGTTTACACTTTAACTGATGAATTTACCATTTGTGTGAAATAGTCTTTCTCACTTTTGAATATTTCTGTGGTATTATGACACTGCAGTGTTTGACTCTTTGCTAAATATTTTATTTTCCTTCAAAACTAAATGTTACATTCTTTTGTGGCTTTTACCTTTTCCCTAGGGTTTTGTATCAGATAGCAGATACATCAGTCTTTTAAGTAGATATTCTTTTAGGATGTCAACATAAATCTGTTGAGTTCTACTTTGATTTAATTCTACTTTTTGCTCTTAATAATTTCACTTTTCTGTAGTTTCTGTAGGTAGGTTAAAAGTTGCCAAAAGATTGCTGGCTTATGTTGATTATTGTTAGTGCTGTGCAGAAATCAGTACTTAATAAATAATTTGATAATTTGAAGATTAAGCATAATTTTTTTTTCTTTGTCTTTTTGGGACAGGATCATGCTATGCAGTTCAAGCTGGCCTTGAGTTCCTTTTGTAGCCCAGGCTGGTCTTGAACTCGCTGTGATCCGCTTGCCTCAGCCTTCTGAGGGCTGGGATTACAGGTGTGCGCCATCACACCTGGCTAGGCATAATTTTAGAGGATGTATTTTAATACAAATAGTGTCAGACTAGAGAAAGGATTTTCATATAATTGCTGAGACTCTTTACTTGGTTTTATATTTCCTTATTTCCAAAGAGAAAGAGTTTTAGAAGTTTTAGTAGCTTGATGCTAAGTAAGTATACCTGACCTTTTAAAGCCTTCCCCGCCCCAAGTTCTAAAGATGCGTCGTAGATTTTATTAAATATTTTGTGTCTCTTTATTTCTAGGTGGAAATTCAGAAAGTTCGCTGAAAAACCGTTCTGCTTTCTGTAGTGATAAGCTAGATGAATACTTGGAAAATGAAGGCAAACTGATGGAAACAAGTTTGGGTTTCTCCTCCAATGCTCCCACATCTCCTGTGGTATACCAGCTTCCCACCAAGAGTACCAGCTATGTACGAACACTTGATAGCGTACTAAAGAAGCAATCTACCATTTCCCCTTCTACCTCTTACTCTTTGAAGCCTCATTCTGTACCCACTGCCTCTCGAAAGGCAAAGCCTCAAAACAGACAGACAACACTCAGTGGCCGAACTAAGTCATCTTATAAATCTATTTTACCATACCCTGTTTCGCCAAAGCAGAAAAACACTCATGTGATGCCGGGAGATAAAATTACCAAGAACTCTTCAAGTACTGTCTCAGATAATCAGGTGAATAACGTTGTGCCAACTTTAGATGAAAATGTGTTTCCAAAGCAGATTAGTTTGCGGCAGAATCAGCAGCAGCAACAGCAGCAGCAGCAGCAGCAGCAGCAGCAGCAGCAGCAGCAGCAGCAGCAGCAGCAGCAACAGGGAACTCGCCCTCCAGGCTTGTCTAAATCTCAGGTAAAGCTAATGGACCTGGAAGACTGTGCACTTTGGGAAGGAAAACCAAGGACCTATATCACTGAAGAACGAGCAGATGTATCCTTGACAACTCTGCTTACAGCTCAGGTAAGTACTTTTTGCTTTTTGGAAGCATATTGGCTAGAGATGAGAATGTAGCCTTTTGGCAGGAGGATCCAGTAGTTTTTAACATTTAATTCCCAGTGACAGCTAAGGAGATGTCTTCCCCTTCCTTTCATTTTTTTATTTTGTTTTTCCTTGAGGTGAGTCTCCATATAATTCAGGCTGATCTTGAACTTATAGTGATCCTCCTGCTTAAACCTCCTTAAAGCTGGGATAACGGGTGCACCACCATGCCCAGCCCCATTCATTTGTTTTTTATCAACTATTTACTTAAGCTTAGATACTTCCTGCCAGCAGAGGGAGACTGTGTAGTTGAGCTTTTGAATAATGTCCTATGATGCTATATAAAGATAGCTGGCCATTCTGAAAACCTCTAATTGCATTCTTCATCAAGGGAACATTGCTGATCCTGTTAAATAACTTTGAAAATTCTGCTTACAAGGCACTAAATGCCAGAAAATACAAAAATTATAAACCTATAAGAAAAACTTGTTTTATGACATTTTATTTTAAGAATTTGTGATTTTTAACTTTTTTTTTTTGGTCTTTTTGAGACAGGGTCTCATTATGCAGTTCAGGTTGGCCTTGAGCTCACTTTGTAACCCAGGCTGGTCTCAAACTCTTTTTTTCTTTTTTTTTATAATATTTTTTTGGCTTTTTGAGACAGGGTCTCATTATGCAGTTCAGGTTGGCCTTGAGCTCACTTTATAGCCCAGGCTGGTCTCGAACTCACAGAGATCCTCCTGCCTCAGCCTCCCGAGTGCTGGGATTGCAGGCATGCACCACCATGCCTGGTGAATTTGTGTGTGGTGTTGGGGATCTCGAACCCAGGGCCTTGTGCATGCAAAGCAAGAATGTAATTTTTAAATGACGTACATATTTCAACACTCTCTGGTGCATATGAAATGATACAGCAACATGTTACTTTTTTAATCATGAGTTTTTGTACCTTTCCATTTCAGAGAACTAAATACAGATTCTGATCTTTTTCATTATTTATAGACTTGCACATGTATAAAATCCTGCCCTTTTTGTTAGTTATTCTAGAGTAGAGGCAGGCAGACTTTTTCTGTAAGGGCCAGATAAGATAGTAAATGTTTTATATTTGCCAGCCATACATATGTTGCAGTTATTTAGCTTTGCTGTTGTGCCATACACAGTATACAAATGAATGAGACTGGCTGTGTTCTAGTGAAATTTATTGGGTTGACGTGGACCTTAGGTTTTTCAGCCCCTGCAAAAGAACGTAATTGAGTAAATCCATCCTTGTTACATGTTTATTTTTTCTGGTACTGGCTATTGAATCCAGAGCTTTTGGGCTGAGCTGCATTGTCTGTCTGTCCATCTCTCTGTCTGTCTGTCTTTCCTTTCTTCCTTCCTCCCCTCCCTTCCCCTCCCTTCCCCTCCCTTCCCCTCCCTTCCCTTCCCCAACCTCGAACTCACTTTGTTGCCTAGGCTGACCTCAAACGCACAGCAGTCCTCCTGCCTCAGTCTCCTGGGTGCTGGGACCACAGGCAGGGCTCAAACTTGGATCCTTCTGCTTCTGTCAGCCTCTCAGACTCCACCAAGATGCCTGGCTCATCCTTGATATTTATGCTTGTATTTAATGAGGTTATTTATTCTGTTGCTATCTGTGCTATGCATTAGAATGGGAGATTGCTCAGAGAGCCAGTTATATTCATTTTCTGTCCTCTAAATCAGTGATGTAAATACTCAAAATCAGAGAAGGCAGCCGACCAATGTATGACTGTAAATTGGTGGTGATGCCAGAGGATGATTTAGTAGAATTACAACTTTCTGCTTTAATTTTAGGCATCTCTGAAAACTAAACCTATTCACACAATCATAAGGAAACGAGCTCCTCCATGCAACAATGACTTCTGTCGACTAGGTTGTGTATGTTCTAGTCTAGCTTTGGAGAAGCGCCAACCTGCCCACTGCCGTCGACCAGATTGCATGTTTGGCTGCACTTGTTTGAAAAGAAAAGTTGTACTTGTTAAAGGGGGATCCAAAATTAAGCATTTCCAGAGGAAGGCTGCTCATCGAGATCCAACAATTTATGATAATCTGGGAGAAGAGCCAAAGGAGGAAGAAGAAGGAGATAGAGAAGAGGAGGAACAAATGAAAGAGAAAAAGAAGAGAAAGAAGCTAGAATACAGTGAGTAGTGAGAGTTAAAACTGATCTATGTATGTTTTCTTATTTTTTTTGAAAAGTATTGTTGTTTAAAAAACGTTACTTATGGTTATCCTTATCAATGATCTAGTAAGGGCTTTGTGAATTCTTACATTTACATGTTCTTTCTATATGGTGTGTGTGATATGTACACAAACACACCTTTTTAAAATTTAAATTTTCTCTGAGAAAGAATAATAGTCTTGGGGCTAGGGATTTAGCTCAGCGGCACAGCGCCTGCCTGGCAAGCGCGAGGTTGTGAGTTCGATACCCGGTACCGGAAAAAAAACAAACAAAAAAAAAGAATAATAGTCTTACTTGGACTTCTAGAATGTCTTTGAACATTTGAAGTTCATTAGTGGTTTATCTAGTTTTTTGAAAGTCCCTGCACATATTCCTTAGAAAGAGTATAGATCATATAATGCATCATATTTTCTAAAAGGAGGAATTTGCAGTGAGACATTCTGATCACAGTTTTTTTTGTTTTTTTTTGGGTTTTTTTTGGTACTGGGAATTGAACTCGGGACCTCGCGCTTGCCAGGCAAGTGCTTGTGCTGCTGAGCTATATCCCCAGCCCATGCAGTGAGACATTCAGATCATGGAACAATCTTCTGAGTGAGCATCATATACTCATTTGTAAAGCTTATTTTTCCCTTTAGATAAAATATGGTGTAGAAGTAGACCCAAGTTACCTCTTATTGAGTTCTGAATTTTTTCCTATTATAGCTTTATATTTGTTTAAATATATTAAATATGAGCAAGGCACAGTGGTACATGCCTGTAATCCTAGCTACTTGGAAGGCTAAAATAGAAGGATTATGAGTTTGAGGCCAGCCTGGGGAACTAATGAAGACTCATACTCCAAAAGAGATCGGGATGTAGCTCAGTGTTAGAGAGCCCCTGGGTTTGAACCCCAGCACTGCTAAATAAATAAATAAATGGTGAATACATATATAAAAATTTAAAAATATGAATATGGTTTACTAAAGGTTTTCTTGTTTCTTAGTTTATCAGGAAATACTATTTTTTGGCAGTTTACATTTCTGTTTATTGTGTACTATTTCCATCAGAGATGATGATTAATATTTCAATATACTTCCACACATATATCTTTGTGAATACTATTATATATGTATAGAAATGGACTATTAAATATGGTGGCATTGTAATCTGTATACATTTAAGGTCATAAGATCATGATCCTCTTTCCTTATCAAGGATTGTAGATCTACATAATAATTTTGGTATTTTGAGTGTCTTATTATATAGTCCAGTCTGTGGAGCTCAGGCTGGGCTTGAATTTGAAATCCTCCTGCCTTAGCTTCCTGAGTGCTGGGATTATAGTTATGCACCATCATGTCTAGCTGTAATTTAGTTTTAGTGATTTCGTATTATTTGCAGTCCTTTCAGTTGGACTTTTTTGGGTTTTTTTTTTTGAGACAGGGTCTTCTATATATAGTAGTTCAGGCTGGCTTTGAACTCTTAGCCTAGGGTGTCCTCAAACACGTGGTGATCCTCTTGTCTCAGGCTCTTGAGTGCTGGGATTATAGGTATGTGCCACCGTACCTGGCTGGTTGGACTTTTTGGAGCCTTGTTTATTACATGTAAAATAGTGATGAATATCCCATGTTTAGGATAGCCTATTAAAGGTGAAATTTCTGACGGGTGTGGTGGCTCATACCTATAATCCCAGCACTTGGGAGGCTGAGGCAGGAGGATCGTCGTGAGTTCGAGACCAGTTTGAGCTACATAGTGAGCTCAAGGCTAGCCTGAATTGCATAGCGAGACCCTGACTCAAAAAGACAAAAAGAGGGGCTGGGGATTTAGCTCAGTGGCAAAAGCGCCTGCCTGGCAAGCGCAAGGTCGTGAGTTCGGTTCCCGGTACCGGAGAAAAACCAAAAAAAAAACAACAACAAAAAGACAAAAAGAAAAAAAAAGTGAAATTTCTGTGACAATAAGTGCACTTTAAGTATTTCTAGATGTTGCTGTAGTTATACGAACTTGTATAATTAGGTGGCACCAGTTTGATACTTTTAAAAATAGGTAATATTTTTAAAAACTTTTAAAACTATGTTAAATTAATAGGGAAAATTGATATCTTTAAAATTTTTTTATTGATAGGTTTATTGACCATTCATCATAATCTTCTATAAAGTGCCTTTTGGAATTTTTTGCTATTTTTTTTAATGCTAGTGGTAGCATTTTTTCTCCTAGAATTTGCAGGAGCCTTATTTTTTCCTAAGTTGTAATTCTGTGACTTATGTTTTAATTTTGTTCAAATTCTACCCCCTCTTTTCTCCTAAAAAAATGTGAAACAGAGCTGGTTAAGTCTGGCAGTCTTTTCCTAGGGTTTTCTGTGTTTGGAATCCTGTGTAGAATGTCTTTCTCTACCCTTAAAATTATAAAAATATTTGATTAGTTGTCTTCTGGTACTTTTGGTGCTTAAAGAAGCATTACTATATCTAGAATTAATTTGATGTGAATCTTGCAGTAGGGAAGAATTTCTCCTCCAGATGACTAGCCAGTTATATTATCACTTGCTGAATAATACATATTTTCTCTAACAGCTTAAAATGTCACCTGTAATGCAGTAAATTAAAGTATGCTGATGTTTCTCATCTCTCCTGGTTGTGATCAGTGCCAGGCTATTCTAATTGCTATTTTAATTTTTAAGTGAGATATAGTCCTTATATACATAGATGTCTTTATATAACTCAGGTTTTAAATGTTCAAACATAACACAAATTTGCTACCATGGTTTTATGTATATCTCCATACTGTATGTATATGTTTATATAATTAGTTTGTTTGTTTGCAGTACTGGAGTAATTTACCTACATCCCCAGCCTTTTATTACTTATTTGAGATAAGATCTTGCTAAATTGCCCAGGCTGGTTTCAAACTGGAGTTCTTCCTGCTTTAGTTCCACCCACCTCACCCCCCAGTGCTGAGATTATACTGGTGGGACGCTATGACTTCATTTTGCATTTAAAGCAACATATCTCCATTTCAAAGCAATAAGAATAAATTATCAAAAAAAAAAAAAAGTTACAAAAGCCATGGGCACAAGAATACTGTGTATCTGTTAGACTTTTTTGCTTTCTTGAATTGTATTGTGATCAGAGTTGTTAAATTCTGGGATCCAGTTATCAGTATTTTTTTAGCCTTTGCTCTTTGGTTTAGCTCATTATTAAGTAAAAATGCCTGTTCTTTTCTTCTCTGCAAGCCTTCAGTTTTATTATTAGGGAGGGATGAGGAAAGGAGGGAAAGTATTCTTTTTTTTTAGATTATTTTAAAAATTAATTTTTGCCAGTAGTGGTGGTGCATGCCTGTAATCTCAGCACTTGGGAAGCTGAGGCGGGAGGATTGTTGTGAGTTCGAGGCCAGCCTGGGCTACAAAGTGAGCTCAAGGCCAGCCTGAACTGCATATTGAGACCCTGTCTTAAAAAAGAGAAAAAAAAATTAATTTTATTGGTTCATTTTATTTTTTCTTTTCGCTTTTCCCCCATCCCAGTATTGGTACATTTTAGGTATACATGATGATAACATTTATCATAAGGAATTTGTACCTGTGCATGTTATTCTTTTTTTTTACATGGTATATCTAGATTTTTCCTTTTTTCCTTTCTCTCCCCTCCCTTCAATCCCTCTTCCCCTTTTTATTTACAAAAATTTTGTTTCCATTTTCTTCCATGTATTTTCTTGTTTTTCGTTTCTCTTTCCTTCCTTTCTTCCTCCCCATCCCTATTTTTCCTGCTCATTTGAATCTTTTTTTCCCCCCTACTATATAAAAGGAGTAAAAATACAGAAGAGTTACTAAATGTTTTGGGGAGGGGTTGCTAGGAATCAAACTCAGGACCTTGCGCTTGCCAGGTAGATGCTTGTGCTGCTGAGCTGTATCCCTGACTCTGAGAAGAGTTATTAGAGGGAAAAGTGTTGTTGAGACTAAAAATGAGTAATCACAAAATAAATAGACAAATTGAAAAGTTGCGCAACCCTCTGTATGTTTTCCAAAAAGATAGATAGAAAAATGAGGGGAAAAATGTTATGGATGGTTTGAAGGAGTTTGAAAAGAAGGAAAGGACAGAACAGAGAAAGGGGGAGAAGATACTCAGATGATGAAAGAAAGTATCAGAGCTGAAGAACCTAAAATTTCTGATTAAATGGCCCTTGTTGAAGTTACTTTTCTCATTGCGGAGACAAAATATCCCACACCCAAAGTTAAGGGAGGAGAGGTTTATTTAGCTCACAGTTTGTAGAGGTTTCAGTCCATAATCGGCTGACTCCAAGGAAGGATGGCACGTGACAGAAGGGCAACAGTTCGTAGCGGCAGTGGAGGATAGCAAAAGCAACAAGAGAAAGCAAGACAAGCCTCTTTCTGTCCCTTATAGTGTATCCAGTCTACTGGGATTAGGGTGGTACCAATCCAAGCAGTGGACTAAACCAGTAATCACCCACCCTTAATTCCAGCATTGCTCTATAAATCAGTCACACACTCTAGATTCAGCCACCTCCAAAAAAACTCTATGACTGTATGAAGCTTTAGGGGAACATCTAGACACAAACCATAACAGGCCTATTGAAGGACTGTAGCTCAGTGGTAGAGTGATTGTATTAGACCTTGGATTAAATTCCCAGTACTGCAAGGGAAAAAAGTGGGCCTACCAACAATACCGCCCCCCCCCCACGCCAGTAATAATTTTAGGAAGATTCATTTCTAGATACATTTTCAGATATTTTAGAATAATAATAAAGAGTAATTATGAATTAAGGGTTTTAAAAGAAACGATTTTGCATGGGGAAGATTGAGAAATTGTTTGATATAAAAGAGATTATCAGTTGGGGGGAATATACTTTGTTTTGATATTACTTCAGTGTTTTGTTTTGGTATTACTTGTTTCCAAAAGCACCTAAAATCTTAACCTTTATTTTTTGTTAAGCAATATGTGAAACAGAGCCTGAACAACCTGTTCGACATTACCCATTATGGGTCAAAGTAGAAGGTGAAGTAGATCCAGAGCCAGTTTATATCCCAACGCCTTCTGTCATTGAACCTATGAAACCATTGTTACTGCCTCAGCCAGAAGTAGTATCTACTACTGTGAAGGGCAAACTGCTCACTGGAATTAAACCTGCACGGGCATATACTCCCAAACCTAATCCTGTGGTAAGCCTGCAGTTTAATATTTTTTAAATTGCAAATTACAAGTCACTTGTAAAGGTGATGGATTCTAGTCAGAGTTTTGGTTGATACTTTCCGAACAGTTTTGCTTTTGTGTAATAGATACATATGACATCTTCCTTTCTGGGTTTAATCAGTTGTTAGCATTTTTAAAATGTCATAAAAGAGAGAATAATAATTCTTAAAAATCACTAAATCTCTCTTCAAGAAGCTTATAGGAAAATAGCTTTTTATGTGACTTGCAAAAGTATTTTAAAGATATATGCTGTTACTCCAGTAGTGTAGACTGTTGAGTAATTAAAATATGTAGAGTATATTAAAAAATTGGAAAAATACTTAGAAAAAGCTTTTAAACTCAGATTTTTAAAAATACATAATTATAGCAATAAAGTTCAAGATTTAAAGTAACAGTTGATACTACATGACTTTGAAGACTGATGGGTAAAAAGAGCTGGTTGTTTGAATATGTAAATAGCTTAAGCAATTCTGATTACTGAATCCATTTCAGTTTCCCCAGTTCATTAATTTGAAGAAGGATCCTTTACTGTAGTGCTTCTTAGTTTATGTAGTCTCAGTACCAGTACTGGTCTAAAACTGTTACTGATATCTCATGAAATAAGTATACAAAATCAGAGCAAATATTTAGAAACTTCTACGCAAGTTAATTAGAATAAATCTATTAAATCTAATACTAGAAAACTTGAGCTTGCAGTTGTTTTTCTAGTAATTTTTATTGTATTTATAGTTGCAGACAGTGATAGACATAATTAACAAATTCTTCCTTCACCATAGATGATTTGAAAAGCACTACTCTGGTGTGACTGGAAATTTCCTGATAATGACTACCCCAAATTAGCATATATGAACTGTACTTAACACTATTCAATTTTAAAGGTTGCATTTAAATTTTTCAGCTGTTACAATGGAAACAAAGATTAAGATCTCTTTCCTTTTGGAGTCTAGGAGAATTTTTTTCACCATTGTATGGAATGTTTTGTTGTATGAAACTTACAGATACGGGAAGAGGACAAAGATCCTGTCTATTTGTACTTTGAAAGTATGATGACTTGTGCCCGAGTTCGAATATATGAAAGAAAAAAAGAGGAACAGAGACAGCCATCTCCATCCCCATCCCCATCTCCATCATTTCAGCAGCAGAGCTCCCGTCATTCTAGTCCTGAGAACCACAGTATCAAGGTGAATTACTTGTATAATTACCTTTTAACTTCCAATTAATTCCCTGTTACTGGTATTAGAATAATGAGAATTTGCAATGGTATCAGAGTAATCTACTTTGGATTTGTATGATGTATAAATTATTTCTGTTTACCTGTTTACTGATCTATCTCTTGGGACTCCCAAGAGTTTTATTCTGATTCTGGAGTAACTGAAAACAGAAAAAACTTAAAACATTTCTGGTTTTAATTTAATTATTTATAATTACTAGGATATGCATTTTTCCACATTGGTGAGCTTTCTAACAGCTGAAGCTTGTCCTGTTAAAACATCCAGTATTTTTTCTTCTTTACTATAGTATACTATAAAGTACCACATAAATTATTTCCTTACTGATTCAGTCATAATTAAGAAAAGTAGAGATCAAATTATTTGTGTTTGTCTGGGATTATATGACAGTAATACAGGTGTGTGTACAAATGTAAAGCTGTTGATTGCTTACATATTTTAACTGGGCATGGTGGCTCATTCCTATAATCCCAGCACTCAAAAGGCTGAGGCAGGAGGATTGCCATGAGTTCGAGGTCAGCCTGGGCTACTTAGTGAGACCCTGTTTCAAAAAACAACTAAGCAAACAACAAAAAGCTGGGTATGGTGGTACGTACCTGCATAAACTCAGCAGTTGGGGGAGGCTGAGGCAAAAAGATTGAGACAAATTCAAGGCCAGCATGGGGTATGTAGAGAGACCTAATCTCAAAAAAAACAAGACACCCTCCCCCTCTAGCAACAACAACAAAAATCTTTGACAGATTTAATGCTTATTTTCTCTTCTTTGTGGACATTAAATATATGTTGAAGTGTTTCTGTGTTATTTCCTTGTTTAGGAACCTGATTCTGAACAGCAGCCCTTAAAACAATTCATTTGTGAGTTGGAGGATGATTCTGATAAATCACAAGGTCAGAATGAAAACTAGATTCTAATGTTTGATATTAATTATATAGGTCTGGATTATTTAATGATGGGAAATAGTCTATCAAGTTTTTTTTAGATTATCCATCCAGAATACATGATCTACTTTTGCTTTTTGCCAAAAGTAGAAATAATTAAAAGTCTTCTCACATTATTTGGTTTAATACTCTTGTTCTCAAAAATAAAAAAAAAAATTCATTTATGTTGCTTTGGCAGGAGACATTTGAGGACGAGGTCAGTAAAATAATTTTTAAGCCCTTTCCAAACCTCAGCTTTATTGGCAGCATTAGCTACTGAATTTGCTGTGGATCTTCCCAGAGCAAATAGCTACTACCATCGCTGCGGGAATGCAGAATAAAGGAAGTAATGTCACTGGTTTACTACCATGATGAGAAGTAGTGACTAGGGAGTTACCTCTTTGTTTTTGGTTATGATTCTTAAGCCTTATTACACTATGCAACAATGCTTCCCAAACCCCTCTTGCCCTTCTTAAATTCCATGGTCATACAAAGAATAATGTGTCTGCAGCATGTTAAGGGAATGCAGTAGAGAAGGCAGCCTGAGGATAAGTACCTTGGAGGCCATGGGAACCTATATTCTCGACATACCTACAATTGTAGCACAATGGTTGGGGAGCTCTGTTATAGAAATCAAGATGTGTAATGAAATACATACATCAGCATGCCACTTTGGGTAGAAATACATTGGGGAATTGAATAGTCCATATATAGTCAGGAAATGGAACAATATTATATAGAGGTACAGAAGTTACTTGGAATATTTCCAGTAGAAACTAGGGAGAGAGCATCTTCTTTTTTTTTTTTTTTTTCCGGTTTTTCTCCGGTACCGGGAACCGAACTCATGACCTTGCGCTTGCCAGGCAGGCGCTTTGCCACTGAGCTAAATCCCCAGCCCCAGAGAGCATCTTCTTGAAAACCAAAACTTTCCTAGCTGGGTGTAGTGGTGCATGTCTGTAATCTCAGCACTTGGGAGGATGAGGCAAGAGGATCACTAAGTTCAAGGCCAACCTGGACTACACAGTGAGACCTTATCTAAAAAACCCACCAGTACTTTCCTTTGCACTTACTTAGTATTTACTGTTACCTTTACATGTTACAAAGCTAGCTTGCAAGTACTTCCCTTTGCATATATGCTCTGCCTGTAGCAGAATATTAACTTAACCCAACTTAGTCTAACTTGGATTAAGGTCATGCTGTTTTTGCAGGCTAGCACTTTCTTAGATAATAGTGACCTTTCAAAGCAGTGTTAAGGTATTCTTTTTCTTTTTTTCCTTTTAAATCAGAGCACTCAGCAGAATAGTGAAGATGATTGTAGTCTGATCATGTGAGATGATCCATTTTTTCTGGAAAACTCCCAAATTACTGTTACATGAGGTTACCCCTGAAAGTATATGGGGTATGGGACATTGAAAAGCTATTGCATTTCTTTCAAAGTTTAGTGTAAAGTGATTGTGATATATAGAAGTATCACTTTTTTTTTTTTAATCAGAAAAGAGCTGGAAGTCTCCCTCCAATGAAGGAGAATCTTCTTCTACGTCTTACGTGCATCAGAAATCTCCTGGTGGTCCTACCAAATTGATAGAGATCATCTCAGACTGCAACTGGGAGGAGGATCGGAACAAGATTTTGAGCATCTTATCCCAGCACATCAATAGCAACATGCCACAGTCACTTAAGGTGGGCAGCTTCATCATTGAGTTGGCTTCTCAGCGAAAGAGCCGGGGTGAGAAGAACCCTCCTGTTTATTCTTCTCGTGTGAAAATCTCTATGCCATCATGTCAAGACCAAGATGATATGGCTGAGAAATCTGGATCAGAGACTCCTGATGGTCCATTGTCCCCTGGGAAAATGGATGATATCTCTCCTGTGCAGACAGATGCCCTGGATTCAGTGAGGGAGAGATTACATGGAGGCAAAGGTCTGCCTTTTTATGCAGGGCTTTCTCCTGCAGGGAAGCTTGTGGCCTATAAGCGTAAACCCAGTTCAAGCACATCTGGGCTTATCCAGGTGAGAATTATCTTTAATCTGGATATAGCACCTTTTTATACTTAGGTAACATCTTGATTTTTTTCAGAGCCTTTCGTAGGCCTTACATCATTTTGTCTTCACATTTCATGGAAACTAGATAACAAAATCATTTTCCCTTTCTGTAATAGGTTAGGATTGGAAGTACACCTACAGTGAATTTTTGGCACATTTACAAACATAAATATAGGCTTTATGTTACATTATTATATATATAGTTATAAAATATGTATTATTATAATTATATAGAAAATAGGCTTTATATTAGCCTATAATTTTCTTTCTAGTCTTTCCAGAAAGTTTTTCTTTTTACCCCTTATTGCCTGGGCTCTAGTGATAGTTTGACAGCCAGTAAAGTTAGGTATTCAGTATAGTTCTTAGAATTTATTATTAGTAGACCACTTTCAAAATAAATGCAGATAGCCAGTGTCATGGTACATGTCTGTAAACCCAGCTACTTGGAAGGCTGAGGCAAGAGGATTTCAAGTTTAAAGTCAGCCTGAGTGACTTATTGAGAGACCTTTTCTCAAAACAAAATGGGCTGGGAATGTAGCTCAGTGATAGAATGCCTATCATATTCTATGATAGCTTGTCTATCATGTTCAATCTCCAGTACTTCAGACAAACCAGTCCATGTTTAAAATATTAGAAGTAGTAAAGTGGTATGGTAAGGCAACTTTAAGGCAGGCAGTGGGTAGTATATGTTTAGAAACTTGGGTAAAATAATTGTTTTGTTTTGGTTTTGTTATGGAGTGCGAGTATCAAACCCAGTACCTCATACATGCTAGGCAAGTGCTCAACCATGGAGCTATGTCCCTAACTCAGGGGAAAATTTCAATTTAATGTTTTTCAAACACATAAAAGTTTAAAGAATTGAGCCACATTCACTTTTTTTTTCTTTATTTTATTCTTGTTTTTCCAGTATAGTCCTTGTTTTGGTTTTTTTTGTGTGTTTGTTTGGTGTTTTTTTGTTTTGTTTTGTTTGTTTTTTTTCCGGTCCCGGGAATCAAACTTAAGACCTTGCGCTTGCCAGGCAGGCGCTGTGCCACTGAGCTAAATCCCCAGCCCCTCCAGTGTAGTCATTGTTGAAGAAATATTTCTCTCCTTGCTTTTTAATAATTTAGGCAGTTTATATTAGTAGAATGCTGACATCTAGAAAAGCTTTTGGAAAGAGAAGTTTTAAATTAAAATGTTAAGTCATAGTTGAAAAGGTTTTTCTAGATCAGTGACAGCAGATGTGTTTTTATTAATGAGTAAATAGCAAGTAAGGACAAGTATCTCACATTATTGCCAAGGTTGCTTGACTTTGATGAGTATAACTGCTTCTCTAGGCTTAGGGTGGCTCCATTAATAATATCAGTGATTGACTTTAAAACTTTATCGCAGTTTACTCTCTGTCTTTTTGAGACAAGCAGGGTTTAACTGTGCAGTTCAGGCTGGCCTTAAACTCGCTTTGTAGCCCAAGCTGGCCTTGAACTCACAGTGATCCTCCTGCCTCAACCTCCTGAGTGCTGGACATCACAGTTTACTCTTGCTGGTGCTATGTAACTCCTTCTGTTGGCATTTCTTTGTTTTTTGTTTTTGTTTTGAGGCAGGGTCTCAGTGAGTAGTTTAGATTGACCTGGATTAACTGTGTAGCCCAGGCTGACCTCAAACTCACAGAAATCCTCCTGTTTCAGCCTCGCAAATGCTGGGATTTATAGGCATGTGCCACCACACCCAGCTCTATTGGCATTTCTTTTTTTTTAGTTTATCTACTGGCATTTCTTAAACTACTTGATAAGAACAATGTTTTCTCTTTACATACTGATTGATACTTTGAGAGCAGAGACTTGCTTGATATTTCTGAGATAAGACTCCCTAAGAAAGGGTATATAGACAGGCATATGGGCTACTGTAGAATGTAATTTCCATCTTTTTTTGTTTTTTTGTTTTTTTCCGGTACCGGGAATCAAACTCACAACTTTGTGCTTGCCAGGCAGGTGCTGTGCCGCTGAGCTAAATCCCCAGCCCGTACTATAGAATGTAATTTGCATAAGGATTCAGGCAGCTTGTAATACAAGTTGATCATCCTTAATCCAAAAATCTGAAATTTGAAATGATCCAAAATTTGAAAATTTTTGAAATGACACCACAGGTAGAAAATGTCTTACCTGACTTTGTGTAATAGGTAGTAGTAAAAATGCATCCACACCAAAAGTATTTTATAAAACTACCTTAAGACTATTGTATAACATACACAAAACATAACTGAATTTTGTATTTATATAGGTCTCTTCCCAAATATTATATATATGCACATTTTTCCAAGTCACATGTCTGAAACATTTCTGGTCCCAGCCATGTTGGGAAGGAATATTCAACCTGTATAGACCTCGGGGAAGCTGCTGTGTAGGTGTAAGAGCCATACCAAAAGAACAGATAGAGATATCTGACCTAGATTCCCTGTAGTATAATATCTAAAAACTATAGTAAAAGTTACTTTTGGATGGAAAGATCACATTTTTTGTACTAAACTTGAGGCAGAAATATTCTTGATGTCTTTGGGAATAGGTACAATTTTATATGAGTAGCAAAGAGTAATTTTGTTTTGTGTTTAAAGATGTAGTGGCTTGCTCTATTACCTCACCAGTTTTCTGTCAAGAGTGTACATTCTACCTTACCCCACCCTCTGTCTTCCAGTTTTAAATGATGAAACAGAAAAGATTATCTTCTCTCAGGTCATCCAGCAATATGACCTAGAGAATATAGATAAATAATATCCATGTTCTGTTGGGAGGTTTCTATTTTCTTTCCTTAAAAACAAAATAATTGTGCTGCTGCCCAGGATGAGCAATGTAATCAACTCTGGCAGCACAGAAAATCTGTGTGTGTCATTTGTTCGTTCCACTTCTGAGAGTTTGGTGGTTATATCTAGAACCTATAACAGATTTATACTAGCATTTTTAAGACATGAAGACAATCATTTCAAAGCTGAACCTTTTGAAAACCACAATTTGAAGTTACTTTGTAGTTTAGGTTATTGTAACAATGATTATCTTAGTAGATTCATCGTTTGTTTTTCAAATAGGAAGGATGCTTCAAAGGACCCTTGACTGAGGGGTTCACTATGCCTCTGGTCTAATCAGGGAGAGTGTGTGTATCAGTTTTTCAATTTTGCTGATGACTGTTAATAGCTTACTCAGAATTGCTTGTTAAAGTAAAAAAAATTGGACAGTCATATCTCTTTCACATATCTAGGGTATGAAAATGATGTTTCTAAAATGCTCTTGTTTCCAAACTACAAAATGAGGTGAGGTTAGTTCAGAATATCAGATGCTGGCATTTTTTTTCTCCTTCCCATTACTCAGATTACCCTGAATGGAAAAAGTCCACTTTTCCCCTCATCTGAAAGAGACTTTTTGCTGGGTGTGGTAGTGCACACCTGTAATCCCAGCTGAGGGAGGCTGAGGCAGGAGGATCATTGTGAGTTCAAGGCCAGCCTGGGCTACAAAGTGAGTTCAAGGCCAGCCTGAACTGCATAGTGAGACGCTGTCCCCAAGAGACCCTCCCCCTCAAAAACAAAACAAAACAAAAAAAAGATGTTCTTGAAATACTTCTTAAAACCTGTAAAAATGAGACACCCCTATGAAGGGAGAGGAGTTAGCAAGAGAATTTTATCTTTACAGAATTTCTCTTTGCCACTTGTTTCAGGTTAATGGTAAGAGTTACCCGCAGGCTAAGTTGCTATTGGGACAGATGGGGGCATTGCATCCAGCCAATAGGCTAGCTGCTTATATCACAGGCAGGTTGCGACCCTCAGTCCTGGACCTCTCAACCCTCAGTACTGTCATCTCCAAGGTAGCATCCAATGCCAAGGTGGCTGCATCCAGGAAACCACGTACCCTGCTGCCTTCAACATCCAATTCCAAAATGGCATCCTCTTCTGGCACTCCAGCAAACCGCTCTGGGAAGAATACGAAGGCATTTGTCCTGGCAAAAAGACCAATTGGTAAGTTGGAGAACAGATCTGTTTTGTAAAGACCTGTAACTTGGTGCTTGGCCAGTGATTATAGATATGATTGTAGAAACTTGAGAAATACAGAATATGGCATTGCTGTTTATATGTATCTTACATATTTTAAAATTTTTCTTGGTAGTTCTTCTGATGATCCATAGTAGAAGAATTGAGCTCTAGTTAGTTTTACAATTATATTTGAGGCTTTTGACTGGCTATATCAATACATTAAAGACTTAGAATTCTAATTTTCTTTTTTAAAAAGAGTGACATTTAAAGATATTTTCTCTAGCATTTTTCCTATGAGGACTGAGGGTTTTGGCTCCAGTCAAACATATGCCTTGAATTTAAAAATCCAAGAAGGTAGCACATGCTAGTGGGATGAGATAGTCTAGGCTTAAAATAGAAGGCTCTTGTGAGATGTAACTTTCAATGTTTCGTTGTTCTGTACATCCCTGTTTGTGAATGAGAACCTTTTTTTTTGCTTAACATTTCATTGCTAGTCTGTAATAAATTGCCTTGTTGAAACAGTCTTGTTTTAGTATTGAGATCACCTATAGTTGTTTATTAAATTCTTTTTGTTGGTTCAAACCTATTTAGGAATATTAAGTGAAAGTATCAATTGTGTCTTCATTCATATTTCTCTAACAGGAAATTGAAATATCTGGTTGAAGGCTGGAGTTCTGTGAAGATAGAGGATATAGGCATTGTGTGTCTTAAAAAGAATCTATTTTGCCTCTTTTTAAAAGCAGCCTTAATTGTGATTGAAAAACAGAAAAAAAGCAGTCCTCTCTTGCTCTCTTTTGAAAAAATTTCTTTATATATTTTAAGAATATACAATACACAACTGTAAAGGACAGCTATAAAGAGGTGGAGTTGTTGGTGCAGTAGAAAATGGTGGAAACAAGTTTTAAAACTAGAATTAGGGGAAAAAAAAATCTTCTTTCTTTTTAGGTAAAGAATTAGTCACTGCTATATATTTGTAGTGTCCTGACAATTTGAATGTATTGCATAGTCTTAAAAGAATTTTAGTAGGAAAACTCAAATTTTAATCCCTTTCTTGTTAGAATTATAATTGTTGGCTTTGGTTTGAAGGAAGTATTTGATTTCTGTGGGTAAAAATTGGCACATATAATGAAGGTAGGTGGTTGTACATGTGAGAAATTGACCCAGTGGTGCGCAGTTAATGTTCTTAAACACAGTCACAAGAAGGGAGAAATAAGAGAACTGAAGATTTTTGACCTGCAAATTTTTATTTGCAGCGGCTCGACCCTCTCCTGGTGGTGTGTTCACACAGTTTGTGATGAGTAAAGTTGGAGCCTTACAGCAGAAGATACCTGGAGTTAGCACACCCCAAACCCTGACAGGGCCACAGAAGTTCAGTATCAGACCTTCTCCAGTAATGGTCGTCACACCTGTGGTTTCTTCTGAGCCAGTTCAGGTGTGCAGCTCTGTGACTGCTGCTGTCACTACTACCGCCCCTCAAGTGTTTTTAGAAAATGTTACTGCTGTGACATCTGTGACTGCTATTTCTGACGTGGGAACTAAAGAAACTACTTATTCTTCTGGTGCCACCACTGCAGGGGTTATTGAGGTCTCTGAAACCAATACCAGCACCACTGTAACATCTACCCAGTCTACAGCCACTGTGAACCTTACCAAAACTACTGGGATAACTACCCCTGTGGCTTCAGTTGCTTTTCCTAAATCTTTGGTAGCATCTCCTCCAACCATAACTCTTCCTGTTGCTTCCACTGCCTCCACCTCCATAGTCATGGTGACCACAGCTGCCTCTTCCTCCATGGTGACCACACCAACTTCATCTCTGAGCTCTGTTCCTATTATACTCTCAGGAATTAATGGGAGTCCACCAGTAAGCCAGAGACCAGGTAAGGCCTAGTTGTTAATCATCACTTTACCATATAGCTGTGTATATAATTTTGCGATTGTGGTAGGAATGCATATACATCAGGATATATATCAGGAATGCATATATATCACAGCTATATGCATATAGAACTGTGTAGGCCATTGGTGGTGAACCTATGGTACATGTGCTGCAGCGGGCTGTTTGTATCATTGAAGCTCTAAAAGGTTTGCCATGACTGGTGTAGGCATTTCTGCTATTATGTATTCTTGAAAATATTTGCATTCTTTAAAACTGAGCACTGGAAATAACAGAGCTCATGATTAATACAGGGTTAAGACAGACCACTGAAAATCAGTGGTTTTTCTTTTTCCTTCAGTAATGGGAATTAAACCCAGGGCCTTTGCACTGATGAGCTACCTTCCCAGCTCTTTTTATTTTTTCTTTCGAGATGGGATCTCGTTAAATTTGCCAGGTTGGCCTTGAATTTAAGATCCTTCTGCCTTAGCCTCCTTGGTAGCTGGGATTACAGGCATGCACCACCACACCTGGCTTTATGTAGTTTTGTTAACTGAAGAAGCAATTTGATTCTTGGGCAAATAATCTGATAGATGGTTTGGTGGAGTTGGAGGTTGCTTCAGGAGATACTAAAAATTTAAAAACACTAGAATGGAAATGCTGGCTGAAGAACACTGAAATAATGCATATAAGAGTAGAACTCTGAGACATTAGACCAGCCAGTAAGGTGGACCTGGAAGGAAGTATACAACCTACTGACAGCTGGGGTGTACCTCTCCAAGGAGGAGAACACTATGTGCAGGTTCTCCTTATTTTTGCAGGGTGTGTATGTGTGCATGTGTGTGTGCGCGCACATGCTGCTTTTTAATTTAAAAGAGACAATGAGATGAGAGGGCTTCTGCCTATGCCCTAACCAAGCTGAAGCCCTTTTTTTGTTTTATTTTCCCTTGCTGAAGATTAAAATATATTGCTTTTTGAGTTCCTTTGGTCTAGTAAAAATACTACTGCTTCAGCCTCCTTAGTAGCTGGGGTTATAGGTGTGTGCCACCATGCTGAGCCTGGTTGTGGGCACCCAGGACCTTTGCACTGAGCTGTATTTACACCCTGTTTTAAATTTTTTTGAAACAGGGTTTATGTTGCCCAGGCTGGGTTGGATTTGTGATCCTTCTTTCTCAGCCTCCCAGAGTACTAGGATTACAGGTATCGCCACCACACCCAGCTGTTCAATAATATTTTTTAAAACAACATTAATTGACAGCATTAACTTGCCAAAGTAAAGGTTAACCCCATAAATAAATACTCAGAAAATGTAAATAATAAAATTATTATTGAAATCTGCTTAGCTGCTACATATTCTGAACATGGTGGCTTATTTTCTGTTGAAGAAAGCTAGAAAAGGGAGTAATATTGAAAATGTAAAATCAAAAACTGATACTTCTATATAAATGAAAAGATTAAAATTGACAAAGGAATTACTTTTCTGACAGTGTGATATGATGTGATGCTACTCTACATTTGTACACCACTTAAAATGTTTATAATAGCACTTAAGGAGTAACATTAATTTTCTTATTTCTAAATAAGAATAATGAATTTCTAAATAAGAATAATTTGTAATGAAGCTGAGTAAGAGTACTGTTTTTTTTTTTTTTTTTTTTTTTTTTTCTCTCTCCTGGTACTGGGAATTGAACTCATGACCTTGTGCTTGCCAGGCAGGTGCCGTGCCACTGAGCTAAATCCCCAGCCCTGAGTACTGTTTTTTTAAAGGAAATTTGTGTGTCATTTTGTTCTTAGTTTATAAAAAGAATCTCAGTTTGGGCACTTTGACTGTCTGGCCTTTTCATTTGACTTCCCTTGTTTTTCTCTTTTCCCTTCTTCCCCACACCTACAATTCAAATAAGCATCATAAATTCATTGGATGTAATAAAGATTGCTTTCACTTTCTGAATTAGAGTAATTTAGGTTTGGAGTCTCTCTCTAAAACATAATTTGAAAATTGCAAGAAGTGAAGTTACAAATTTTTAAAATCTTCATAACATGAATACTGTGTCTGTCTGTCTGTCTGTCTATCTATCTGTTTATCTATCTTTTTTGAGACAGTGTCTTGTTATGCAGTTCAAGCTGGCCTTGAACTCACTTTGTAGCCCAGATTGGTCTCGAACTTGCAATGATCCTCCTGCCTCAGCCTCCTGACTGCTGGGATTACAGGTGTGCGCCACCACACCTGGTCAGTATGGTTAACTGAGAAAGTTAACATCTTTAAAAATTCTTGTAAGATAAATGAACTTTTTAAAATTGCACACTATTCAATTTTCCTGAACAATTTGGTCTCTGGTCTTTATTTCACTTTTTTGGGGGGAGTGCTTTTTGAAACATGGTCTCACTGTGCAGTTCAGTCTGGCCTTGAACTCACTTTAGCCCAGGCCATCCTCGAACTCACAATGATCCTCCTGCCTCAGCCTCTTGAGTGTTGGGTTTACAGGTGTGTGCCACCATGGGCAGCTTTATTTCACTTTTAGAGCATTCCTGGATTTTCTGTGTATAATTTTGTCATCTAAACGTTACGAGTATGACTTAGAAATTTGATATGTTTTGTGGACAGTGTATGTCTGATAGAAAATCATACATGTTAAGCTAAAATCTTTTTAGCTTAGTTTGGTTTGTTGATTTTCAATTTAATGGTAAACTATAAGAAAAAGTTTTATTTATTAAGAAGCCCAAGAAGTTCACCAATTTGAATGGTAATAATTTTGTTTATCCTCACAATTATCATTTTTCCTGCCTCTTTATTTCTGTGACCTCCTACCCCCAAAAATCTCTCCATGGGTTACTCATTTTTTTCCCATATCATTTTGTTTTAAAACTATCTTTTGCCCCTTACTAGCCAAGCTTTATTTACCTGCTTCTTCGATATCTCCTAATTGTGTAACACAGACTAGGGGCAGGAATGTTATTTTCTCTTCTGAGAAATAGTTTTCAAAAATCTTTAAACTTTGCTTATTTATTAGTGAATTTTAAAAGCCAGGAAGCCTTTCATGTGCCTCCTAATTTTAGTCTTTGACTTTTATCTTCCACAAGTGTAAGCGCTAAAACTAAATGCAGAGTTAGTATTTTCAGCTTCCAGTTTAAAGTTGACCAGTGTATAGCTCAGTGGTGCAGCGTCTGCCTGGCAAGTGCAAGGTTCTGAGTTCGATTCCCAGTGCCAAAATAAAAAAGATGAAGAAGGGAATTTTGTAATCTCTTGAACTTTATGTAAATTCGATTTACAAGTCTGCCTCTGTTTTTCATGAGGCAGAAACTTACCTTTGTACATTTACCTCTTGATAATGGATATCATTCTGAATGTAAACGTCTACAATGACTGACCGATTACTGTTGACAATAAATAGTGTATTATAGAGGGACAGAATCTCACCAGCTTTGTCAGTAGTTTGAGATTCTATGTCATCATAGTTTTATTTCTACATATGTTCAAGGGGAATTTTGTTACTATGTTTTCATTCTTATTTTACAGAAAATGCTGCTCAGATTCCAGTGGCTGCTCCACAGATCTCTCCTAATACAGTGAAACGTCCTGGACCTCGATTGTTGTTGATTCCAGTACAGCAGGGTTCTCCTACGCTTAGACCTGTCCCAAACCCACAACTTCAGGGACATCGGATGGTTTTACAGCCTGTTAGGAGCCCAAGTGGAATGAACCTATTTAGGCATCCCAATGGGCAGATTGTCCAACTTCTACCTTTGCATCAGATCCGAGGCTCTAATACCCAGCCCAGCTTACAACCTGTCATGTTTCGGAACCCAGGTATAAGATTGGGGATCTTCCTGACAATTTTTATTTAAGTGGTTAGCCATATGTTATGTAGTATTAATACACTAGGATTGTTCTTGGTCTCTTAGGGTCATCTGTCCAAAAAGAGAAGCATGCTGAAAATTTTTGTTATGGGCAGTGGTGATTAAAGAAATTTTTCTTTTCCTTAACAGGGTCTGTGGTGGGAATCCGGTTGCCTGCACCTTCCAAGCCTTCTGAGATGCCACCATCTTCTACTTCATCCTCTGCTTTCTCTGTTGTAAATCCTGTAATTCAGGCTGTGGGGTCTTCTCCAGCAGTGAATGTTATCACTCAGGCACCGTCTTTACTTTCCTCTGGACCAAGTTTTGTCTCGCAGGCTGGTACATTGACCCTGAGGATTTCTCCTCCTGAGCCACAGAGCTTTGCAAGTAAAACAGGCTCTGAAACCAAAATTACATATAGCTCAGGAGTGCAGCCTGTTAATACAGCTAATCTCATTCCTCTCCAGTCTGGTAGTTTTGCTTTGCTGCAGCTCCCAGGACAAAAGCCTGTCCCTAGTTCCATTCTTCAGCATGTTGCTTCCCTTCAGATGAAGAAGGAATCCCAGAATACAGACCAGAAAGATGAAACAAACTCTGTAAAAAGAGAGAAGGAAACTAAGAAGATTGTACAGTCAGAAGAAGTTATGGGTCCTGAGTCTAGTATAATTAAGCAGAATTCAGGGACTATTACCTCAAAAGAAACCCTGAATGATTCCTTGGAAGATGGGGATGAGCATTTAGATGAAGAATCCCTTACAGAAAAAGATCCCACAACTGTCAAACCTACTGAGCACTCCTATATCACTGAGTCACACACAGGTGAAGACTGTAAAGATGTTACTGAAGAGCATGGGACTAGGAATCATAACAGTTCCAAAGAAAAACTGACTGTTCTACAAGTTAGGACAGTTTCTGAAAAATCCAGTAATATGACAGTACAAAATGTGAATAAAGTACAGCTTCAAAAATCTGGTGATGTTAAGATGGAGCAGCGGAAAGGATTAGACAATCCAGAGGAAAAACCAAATGAATTTCTATTTATCGAATTATCAGGGAACAAAGTTATGGTTCAGCAGCAATGTAATCCACAGCCAGAGGCCAAGGGGAAAGATTGTGGAGACTCTCTGGAGAAAGACAGTATTAGGGAGAGATGGAAAAAGTACCCAAAGAACCCCTTGGTTCGGAAATGTGTGAGAACTTCAGAAGAATGTAAGAAAGAGGCAGATGAACAATTAATTAGAGAATCAAAGCCATATCAAGAAGATTCAGATGTGTTTCAAGAAGAACAGGACATCTCTGGTCTATATGAGAAAAGTGGAACTTCTGAGAATGATGGAGTTTTAAAAACTGAGTGTGATTCTTGGAGTAGGATTTCTAATCCTGCAGCCTTCTCCATCATTCCTAGGCGAGTTACAAAAGGAAGCAGAGGGAATGAACACTATCAGGGTGACTTACTACTACCAGGAAAACAGATAAAACCAAAGCAAGACCAGAAGGGTAGAGGAAGCACTGACTTCACTGGCTTGGATTTGGAAGAGGAAGATGAAGATGAGAATGAGAAAACCGATGATTCTGTTGATGAAATTGTGGATGTTGTGTCTGACTACCAGAGTGAAGAGGTTGATGATGTAGAAAAGGTGGTGAGCCCATTTTTGTTGTGACTGAAACCTCAAGGATTTAAATGATTTATTAGAGACGGTAGCTTTTCCAGAAGATCACTAAGACCTAATTCATTTACTTGGATGTGTAGGTTTAGATAATGAAATGACTTTGTAGTTTTTAGGATGCATTAGTCAGGCAATGTTTATTGGGTTTCTTGTCTTTGAAGTTTGTTTATTATTATGGTAAGGGGGCTTGAGCCTTTGGGGTACAGATACTTAAGAGTCCCTGCTAAGTTGGATTTAAAAAAGGTATTTGAAATCATTGCACGCATTTGATTTTAGTAGTTTTTGTGATATTTTGTACGTGGAGTGATTGTAGCTTATTTGGTACATATAATAAGATAGAATAAATGGGGTGGGTGACCTTAGAATTAGGAAGATAACTTATCACCTGTATTTGAAAAGAATTTTCTTTGGAGGGGGTACCGGGAAAATATCATTTAATATGTTAATGTAATTCTGCCTCAAATTACTTTTCAACTATATTCTGAAATTAAACATTTAGTCACTAGGATTTATATTTTAGGCTTTGGTCATCGTTCTTTGTAATATGACATTTATAGTTCTTAAAATTTTTATGAAGCATTTGTATAGACATTATTGGGTTATATTTACTAATCTAAGTAACTGGAAGATAAAATAGGACAGGAGTTACAAAAACTGTTTGGCAAATAGTAAATATTTCAGACTTGGCAGGATAGATGACTAAACTGTGCAAGTGCAGAAGGAGCCACTAACAATATGTAAGAGAATGAGTGAGGGGCTGGGGATATAGTTCAGTGGCATAAGCACCTGCCTGGCAAGCACAAGGTCCTGAGTTCAATTCCTGGTACCAAAAAAAAAAAAAAAGAGAATGAATATGGCTGTGAACCCTTCTTAAAAAAACAGGTGGTAAGCTGCTAACCCCTGACATAGGGTCTGATAAAAAACCCAAGGCAGCCATATTCTAATGCCTTCAGGGTATCCTAAAATTTGAACTGTGTTCCTCTCTTTAGGAGTAGATGACATAGCCCTCTGTACCAGTTATCTTGCAGCTGGTTGTTTTAGAATACCACTTCCTTGGGATTCACTCAGCCCCTGTGTTATCTGATCCTTCTTTATTAATATCTAACTGGCTTAGGCAGATAAAATATAGCAAAAAGATTAATATTTTTAGACTCTTAAGTATTTTACTATTCTTACATTGGTTATTTCTGTTCTACAGTTGTCTAATTTATACATGAGGGTTTAGTTCTAAAACTCGTCTATACTTTCTCTGTAACTTAGTCATGTTCAAGGGAATCTGAATTCATTGAGTTTAGGAGTTATTTTGTAGATTTTCTTGTGCTGTTTGCTCTCTCTCATTGTAAGTCAGTCTACGTCAGTGATGGTGAACCTTTCAGAGCTTTCAGTGATACAAACAGTCCCTTGTGGCAAGCATGCCACAGGTTCACCAGCACTGGTCTAGGTAAACACATCAAACAAGTAAACAGTCTAGTCTTGAAAAACCAGTGAATACAGCTGGGAATGGATGCCTGTAATCCTTGCTATTCTGGAAGCTAAGGCAGGAGGATCACAAGTTCTGTGCCAGCCTGGATTACTTAGAGAGACCTGGTCTTAAAATTTAAAGGATGAAAAAGGGCTGGGAATGTTGCATTGCTTCCTGCTTCAGTCCCTGGCACTGAAAACAAAATGAAATAAAACATACTGAAGAACTGCTGTCAGTGGAACTGACTTAATAAAACCTTAAAAGTGCCTTAGTCATAAGGTAATATTGCTTGGATGAACTAATAGGAATTTTTTAATTCTTTGTTTGAAGTAGGGTCTCATGTAGTCCAGGCTGGCCTTGAACTCACTTTCTATACCAGGCTAACCTCAAACTCAGATTGATCCTCCTGCCTCAGCTTCCCGAGTGCTAGAATTACACGTGTGCCACGCTGTTTGGCTTAGTAGGGAATCCTACAAATTATACTGCCCTTTTTAAAGTCAAAACCTAATATTGTCTCTAAAATCTTAAATTCTACATCAGATTTATGAATATTTCTCACCCCTAAATTATCTGTTTATTAGCATTATTTTAGATGGTGTAAGGAAAGTTGTGATTAACCAAAGTTTTCCATTGTGAAGGTTGGGTATTACTAAACCTGTAGTTAAAACCATGAAATAACCAGACCTTTTTCAGTTTAAATATTGTAAACCATATATCTACATTACTAACTCCAGATTCTGTTGGGATTGTGTTAATTTGCTTCTCAGAGTTAACTTAAATATATATTGTTTACAATGCTTAAGTTTAATATACATTCTTTACATTGTGCTTGAATGGAGGAGGAAACATAAATGATAGCTTGTATTTAGTGTCTGTTAGCACCTTATGGAACCTATAATTTGGGGGTAAGTAATTTTCCAATAAATCTAAATAATTAATAAGATGATTGAAATACTTCATTTTAAGAGTTGTGCCTTTCTGGTACAAGGCAAGTATAGGTAACAGATAACATTCCTTGTTTGGTTTTAACACTTCTTTTAAAGGTAGACTGAAAAATATCTGCTTAAAACATATTTCCATGTAATTCTATTGCTATACAAAATATCCAGTGAATTTCTATGATAAGTGCTCAATACATGCCAACTTGATTGACTCCTTTTTAGGTATAGTAAGTACAGGAATCTGGGTTTCTTTTGAAACCTGAATTACTTAAAAGATACCATTCTGTGTGTCTGGCTGTGTGGTTAAGAGACTTAGAAGACTAATCTGGCGTCTGTTCTTACATCTGTCTCACATATTTTTTTTTAATAAACCAGAAATTGAACTCAGGACCTTGAGCTTGCCAGCCAGGTGCTGTGCTGCTGAGGTATTTTCCTGGTCCCTGGCATACATTAATGTTTATTGATTTGTGGCATTTGGTATGATTGGTCATCAGATTCCCTTAAAATGGAACCTTTGGTGCTAAGAATTGAACCCAGGACCTTGTATGTGCTGTATCACTGAATTGTTACACCTGTAGCCCTCCAATAGAATTTTTCTTCTTTCCAAATTCTTTTTTACTATTACTTGACCTAGCTGCTCCTGGAGTCTCAGGCAGGCCACCCTAGGCAACTTAGTGAAACTATCTCAGAATAAAAATAAAGAGCTGGGGTTGTAGCTCAGTGGTAAAGCACTTACCTAATATGTACGAGGCCCTGGGTTCAATCTCTAGTACCACAAAAAAGTAAGTAAAAGGAAGTGATAACATACCCATAACCAACTTTGATCTTCTAGAAATAATAGTGAAGCATCAGTACAGCTATTTGGGGACTCTGTTCATACCAGGGATTATATTTCCATGACTTACATAGTTGTTCTTTGTTGACTCTATAAGTATGTTGTTTCTCTAGTTTAATTCCTTTTTATGATTATGATTAGCAAGTTAAGGATTATGAGTACTCATGGTATAAGATCAGTGTTTGGCACTGGTTGGTTGGTTTGGTAAGGAGAGGTTGCAGTTGAAATTTGGGGGCGGGGTGTGCCTCCCAACATAGTATTTACTGTTGTAATAATGTATTTCAGAATAACTGTATAGAATATATTGAGGATGATGAAGAGCATGTGGATATTGAAACTATAGAAGAGCTTTCAGAGGAAATTAATGTTGCCCACAAGAAGACCATAGCAGCTCATGCACAGTCATTCAAACAGATGTAAGTTTTATTTATCTCTGGATTGTTGTCATTGCTTTAGAGCCAGAAAGAAAATTCGATATTCTGTTCAGGAACTCTAGGTAACAGATCTGGTTACCTTATTGCTCTTTTTTTCTGATGAGTATAGATGAAAATAAGAACTGGAATTGGGAGGTAAGCTTTGGTCATTGCTAGGAGACATTGTGTAATGTAAATAACATGCTTTCTAAGCCAGATGCACAGGCATAAAAATACTGTTTTCAGTAGTTTTAGGCATTTAACCTTAGGCAAGTCTTAGATATCTCCCAATTTAAAGTCTTTTGCGTTTTTTGAGATAGTTTCACTGTGTTGCCCATGCTGGCCTTGAAATTGTGGGGATCTTCCTGACTCAGCCTCCTGAGTGCTGGGCTTACTGCTGAGTGTCACTGGGTGAGGCTTTCAATCTGAGTTTAAAAAACCTTAGATTCTTGGGGCTAGGGATATAGCTTAGTGGCACAAGTGCCTGCCTGGAGAGCACAAGGTCCTGAGTTAGATTCCCAGTACAAAAAGTAAAAAATAATACCTCAGATTCTTGACCTATGAAATGAGGAAAGTAAAGTGTTAAATCATATATGCAACCAGCTTAATAACAAATACAAATAGACTCCTTAATAATTTAATTATCTTTTAAGAATAAGGTATTGGATTCTAAGTTTGGTTACTAGTTGAACAGGTGAGATCCAGGTATGAAAATTTTCCTGTTCCACTGATGAGATGAAAATTTGAAGAGCATGAAGACTTGCTCAGGAATATTGTTTTAGTAAGTTTTGTATCAATTGGGGGTTGAAATGTGAGAGAGAAGGGAAGAAGATACTTGCTATTTCATGCCAGACCTTTTCTTTTCCTGTTACCTCATTAATAAATTTAGCAGGGTTGCTGGATGATAAAGTTCACATATACGAAAACTGAGTTTCTAAACAATACAAACAAAAATGAAAAGCAAAGAAAATAAACAATGGGAACAAAAGCAAAAATCTAAAAAGCATTTACAATGGTAATGGGAAAAGTATTTTTAGGAATATATCTAGCAAAATCTGTGTAGTACTTATTTAGAAATTATATTGAAACACAGTGAAGAAGAATTCAGTAAACGGAAACATACTATGTTAATAGATTGGAATAGTGAAGACCCAATAATCAACACACAAAGCACAAAACATAAAGGAACAAATTGGAGGGAATGAGGGTACAGTGTTACAGTGCATGTTTAGTCTGCCTGAGGCCCTGAGTTTAATCTCCCAACACTGGCTACCCCCATTAAGATTTTAATTTTTTGCCATGTGTGGTGGCACAAACCTGTAATTCCAGCACTCAGGAGGCTGAGGCAGGAGGATCGTTGCAAGTTTGAGACCAGCCTAGGCTACAAAGTAAGCTCAAGGGCAGCCTGAACTGCATAGCGAGACCCTGTCTCAAAAAGATAAAAAAAAAATTTTTTTTAATTTTTAAGTCTAATTAAAAATAAAGATTTAAAATTTTTTAGATTGTGTCAGAACATCATGAAAATAGTGAAAAGGCAAACTCAGTCTATATTAGTTGCAACTATGTATAACTGACAAAGAGTAAGTCTAAGTCTTAAAAGATGATCCAGTGGAAAAGTAAATAATGTGTATTACAAGTAGTTTAGGGAAGGGGAAACCAGAAAGGTCAATAAGCATGTACAAATTCGTTTAACTTTATTTTATTTTATTTTATTTTTTGGTTTTTCTCCGGTACCGGGAACCGAACTCACGACCTTGCGCTTGCCAGACAGGCGCTTTGCCGCTGAGCTAAATCCCCAGCCCCTTGTTTAACTTTAGAAGTAATTAGGGAAATGGCAGTTAAACCATATAACTACTGGTTCACACATATGATTGGCAAAAATGGAAATTTCTGGTAGTAGCGCAATGTGATTTGACATCTATTGAAGTTGAAGATGTGCACACTACTTTCTTGGACCTAGCAATTTTCAACTTTTAGGTTACATCATGGAAAAGTTCACATATACTTAGAAGAGTTCACATAGAGACTATCCATTGCAACACTGTTTGCTGTTTGAAGATTTGGAAGCAACCTAAATAACTACTAATATTCAGGGGAAAAAATTGTGGGGAGGGTAGAATTCACACTGTGAAGACTCTACCAGTTTAAAAGATTGATGAGTGACTTTGGTCTTCTGAGACAGGATCTTGCTATGTAGTTTAAGGCTGACCTTGAGCTCATTGTGTACCTCAGGCTGGCCTCAAATTGGGGACAATTTTTCCGCCTTTGATTTCTGAGTGCTGAGATTACAGGCATACACTATCGTGCCCAGCTAGATGATTAATTGTACATCAACATCTCTCAGGTGTAATGCTGAGTGAAACAAATCAATTACAGAAAGATGTGATATATACTACTTACAATAGTATTTTCAAGAAAACTGTGAAGATACTTATTTAATCCCAGTTTAGGAATACTTACCTATGAGAAGGAACGAAAAGAATGCAGTTGAATAAGCTGCACACAGGATCTCTGTTTTGTGGGTATTTCTCAGCTGTATAGGATCTACTTGTATTTGTACAATTTTATATGTTTGAAATTATTTCATGAGTGAAGATAATTTGCCATTTTAATGAATATTTGTATTTAGAGGAAAAAAGTACACTATTATATAAACAATGTGGCTCCTATTGCATCTTGGGGGAAATAATTTGTTATAATTTAGACAATTTGGGATGGCACGGTTTAATACAGCTGTGAAATAGGTTCTAGATTATTGAATTTCAGTGTGATATTAAACAATGCTGTCTTTGTCTAGGTGCCGTACCCATGCAGATGAAAAAGCTACTGAAAGAAGTCGAAAGGTATTTAAAATATGTTTATGAAAATTACTCATTTAATAAAATTGATAACATTTGTCTTGGGGTTGAAACAACACTAGCTATATTAACCATGATTTTTTAGGGTGATTTTTATTAGCATAATCAACTTGTCTCCCATAATAAAATTATTAGTATGTTCCCCCGTCTTAATTTTCTCCCTCCCCTAAGAGGGTGGAATAATTTGGAGAAGTTAAAATGGGTATAGAATTTATCAAAAGTAATTATTTGAAAACTTAACCTGTGCTGTATTGATTTGAAGTGAAACACCTGGCATTCTTCCTTGACTAGGTTCATGATTTTCAGTGGCCAAAAAATTACTCTATATAATCATGACAAACAGTTCAAAGATCCATGGAATTATAATCCTTTAATTTTATAAATATATTTAGGGGACGGTATCATGATGGCATAACTAAGCAAAGATTCTCTTTACCATAACAGTAGGAATGGAAGAGTGCATGGTTGTTTTATACTATTTTCCGTTTTTATTCTGTCCTCTTAGGAGAGAAAAGACAGTGATAGGGATTGGGCTGGAAGATGGTGTTTGAATTCTAGTCCTTTCAGAAACCTCAGTGTGACGCTTTTGCATTGATGTGATGTGGAGATCTTATATAAGACATACTTCTGCGGTTGTAATCATTTTGCATATATTACTCATTTTCAGTTTTTCTTTTTTTCTTTTTTTTTTTTCATTCTGAATCCTTTTTCAGATACAGGAATTTTCAGAATAGCTTATTTACATAATCTGTTAAATAATACCCAAATTATTTCATGTAAATATTTGTAGTGCTTTGCTGTACTTAAACTTTTTTTCCCCTGTCATTGCATCTTTTATTATTCTACGCTTTTATTTTAAAAGACAAAGTCTTGCTAGGCTGGCCTTGAACTTACTCTGTAGCTCAGGCTGACCTCATGATCCTCCTGCTTCAGTTCCAAGGGAGGAGGTGGTGGGAATTACAGGTATGTGTGTCACCATACCCAGCTGTTTTTCTATACTATTTAATGCACAGTGGGTTTTTCTTTTTTCAAACAGATTTTATTGGGACATTTTAGATATATATAATAATCACATTCATCATAAGGAATTGTACCTTACATGATACAACTTGATTCTTTTTTTCCCCATTCCCCTACCTTGCCTTCAACCCATCCTTCCCTCCCCATTTACAAAAGCTTTGTTTCCATTTTTTCCTTTTCTCATTTTTTTTTTTTTTACTTTTCCCTTCTTTCCTTTTCTTCTCCCCCCCTTTTTTGTTCCCCTCCCCATTTGATAAGTATTTCACAATACTTATTATACATTTTGGACCTTATTTATACTTTGTTTTTTATAACAAATAATGCAGTTTTTACATGTGTGTCTGATTTATTTCACATAAGAGTATCGTCTCAAGGTACATCCATTTAGCTAGAAGTGTCTCAAGCTTATTCTTCTTCATGGAAGAGTAGTACTCCATTGTTTAAAAAAACCCACATCTTTATCCGTTCACTAGTTGATGGGCATTTGGGCTCTTTCCAAGATTTGCCTCTTATAAATTGTGCCACTGTAAACAGGGGTGTGCATCTGTTGCTGTGGTATGATGCTTTTAATTTTTTCAGGAAGATACCCAGAAAGGGAATAAATGGATCAAATGGGACCTCTAGTCCACAATGGGTTTAACTTTAGGAAGACAGTGATTTTACATAAGAGATTTGGGGCATTGTCAGGGTTGTGATAAAAACAAATAGTGGCAGAAAAAAGTACAATTAGAAGCTTCGGAGAGGAAAACAGAAAACTATGTAAGATAGGAAATAAATTATGATTCACTTTCTGTGAATATTTATAATGTCATAATAGCTTAAGTGCTGTCAGTGACTTTTTTTATAACTAAATCTATGAGTAGAATATAGAGGATTTATTTTCAGTCCCAAAAAATGTAAATACAAATCACAAATTGGGAGGTTAATGAGGGAAGAAGACATGAAGTGTATAAATGCTGATATGTTCATAAAGAAGAAAGACAAGATACACTTTGTTGTTGACAAAACAAAAGAATTACATTCAAGTGACTTAAGATGTCAGAAGAATTAATGATATAACTGTATTAGAAAGATGGAATGATATTTTAAGAATAGTATGCACTAAACCGCCTTCTATATAGCAACCAGATTATTGATACTGGAAAAGAATAACTTTATATTCTGTTTAAGAACCAGAAAAGGCCATTAAAAGAATAAAAAATGTTGTTTCTGAAGATATGGGTGTAGGTATAAGGCATGGTTATATTTCATTATGAGCTAGTTCTTCATGTATTTTGAACCTTACATGTATCCATAACTTCTTTATAAGAATTTTTAAGCCAGACATGGTGGCACATGCCTGTAATTCTAGCACTCGGGAGGCTGAGGAAGGATGATTGCTGTAAGTTCAAGGCCAGCTTGGGCTGCAAAATGAATTCAAGGCCAACCTGAACTACATAGTGAAAACTTGTCTCAAAAAACAAAGAAAGAAAAAAAGTAAAGAAAATTCTGCAATTGAAATAGAGTAAGATAAAGGAGCCCTAAGGCATGCTTTTTCCTAAAACAATGCAGGATTTGAGTTTCAAATGTTAAAAAATTTAAATGAGGTGGAGGATTGGGAGGGAGGAAGGACAGGTCATGAGATACAGATGATGCCCGTGTAATTGCAGGGATGTGTGGGTTGTGTGTTTTGGGAATTTCTTTTTTGTTGTTGTTGTTTTGAGACAAGGTCTCTGTGGATTCCACACTGGCCTTGAGCTCATTGTATAGCCCAGGCTGTCTTCAAACTGGCAGCGATCCTCCTACCTCAGCTGAGTGCTGGGATTACAGCTGTGCACCACCATACTCAGCTGGGAATTTTTAACAAGAATTGTTGGAGAGAAAGATTATTTAGGTTAGTGACAGGTGATCTTTTATCAAACTGAGAAAGGTCAAGTCTCTTTTCCACCAGTCAGTATTTTGCTTTTTTTCATGTAATTGGTGTCATGAAAACTCATTTTATTAAAGTGTATAAGTAATGTTTTCCCAGTCCCCTATTCCCTTCCACCACTAGATTTTTCCTCATTTGAGAACCACTGAAATTTTAGCTAGGAATTGATGTGATTACATTAGCATGTATTAGAATATACATTGCTGGCATTGTTGAAAGTAGATTTTGAGGAAGGGCAGAAGATGGTAGCAAGTTGAGCAGTTGAGTGACTGTAACAACATTCCAGACAGATGTTACTGGGTACCTGAGATAGAGCAGTGAGTACCGTTGAGGTGGAAAAGGAGGGCAGGTCCATGTGAAAGATGTTGAGGCACTCTTGTTTGAACAGGCCCCACCAGTTCCTCTAAAACTGAAACCTGATTACTGGAGTGATAAACTACAGAAAGAAGCAGAAGCTTTTGCTTATTATCGCCGGACACATACTGCCAATGAGCGGCGGAGGCGTGGTGAAATGAGAGATCTCTTTGAAAAACTGAAGATCACACTGGGATTACTTCATTCTTCCAAGGTTTCCAAAAGTCTTATTCTTACTCGGGTAAGTAAATGTTTGTGTAAATGACAACAAAGAAGACCTTAAAGAGGAATTGTACACATACTCTGAGGAAAGGGACCCATTGTCATATGCAGGAGATGGATGTGGACTAATGAATGCCTAGTAAGTCCCTTAGAAAGTTACATTGAGTCAGAGTAGCTTTTTACTGAAGGTTCTTACTTGATAGAACTATCTCACTTTCAGATAAAGTCAGAAACTCTGACTGTGATTAACATGTACTCAGCTGGGCATGGTGGCTCATGCCTGTACTCCCAGCACTTGGGAGGCTCAGGCAGGAGGATCGTTGCCAGTTTGAGACCAGGCTGGGCTACAAAGTGAGCTCAAGGCCAGCCTGAATTGTGTATTGAGACCCTGTCTCAAAAAGACCAAAAAAAAAAAAGATTGGATTAACATGTAGTTAATAAATTGTTCTCATTAACACTTAGAACAGTTTTAGCACAGTGGAAAGCCATACTATATTTAACAATTGACAGCATTTAAAAGAAAATCTGAGATAACCTTTGCAAATAGAATAAGGCAAATTTATTTAAATTGCTTAAAGTGAAATTGGAGAAGTACAGGGTAAGCATTTATATCCCTGTAGGGCAGTGTTATTTCATGTTTTCTTTTGATTTTTGAGATGGAGCCTCACTATGTAGTTCAGGCTGCCCTTGAACGTCCTATGTAGCCCATCCTGACCTTGAATTCAATGGTGATCTGTCTGAGCCTCCTGATTTCTGAGAGATTACAGATGTGTGCCACCAGGCCCCACTGAGATTATTTTAAAATTGATTAAAACCTAAGCAGAATTTGAATATTTTGTGTGTCCTTGCAATAGAACATCTATTTGACACACAGTGGTGCTCTTCAGAAATAATCATGATCTATTTTCCCTGCAAGTATAAGCCAGAAAACATTATACAGTTTATCGATTTCTGGTACATGGTGGTTTTTACATGGCATTTATAAAGTTCTCAAAATATTTATTTAAATTTTTTTCATTAAAGAAATTTGTAAGCCTTTCTTGTGTAAAAAAGAGTGGATCAATTAACATATTACTGTTTTTATCTTAGGCATTCAGTGAAATTCAGGGACTAACAGATCAAGCAGACAAACTGATAGGACAGAAAAATCTCCTGACTAGAAAACGGAATATCTTGATACGAAAGGTATCATCTCTTTCAGGTAAGATATGTAAATGGTCTCTAGTAAAGAGTTTAATGACACCTTTGTCAAGGAGAAGTTCTCAGTAGGCCTTTCAGATACTATTTAGTTTAAGCTTGGTTCCTTAAGTTTACGGTAGAGCTATGTTTTGAGTGGGTAGAGGATATTTTCTGGATTATAATCACTCTTGCCTTGCATAGTTTTGGGGAATATAGTTAAATCAACTGGATTTCAGTTGATTCTATTTCTCATTATTATGTGGGGTCATGAAAAAGAGTGATAATTTATTCCTTATCAACCTGTAGGTAAGACAGAAGAAGTGGTCCTGAAGAAGCTAGAGTATATTTATGCAAAACAACAAGCACTAGAGGCTCAAAAAAGAAAAAAGAAGATGGGATCAAATGAGTTTGATGAGTCTCCCAGAACTAGCAAACAGCAGGAAGGATCTTCTACATCATCTGTAGATCTCGGACAGATATTTATTAATAACAGGAGGGGGAAACCTTTGATTCTTTCCAGAAAAAGAGACCAGGCCACAGGTAGGAGGGACATTCTTCGCTTTCCTTAATGTAGATGAGCATCAGTTAAGTAGACTGAATGTCTTCTCTTGGCCAATAGTGTTCCAGTTTTAGTTAAAGTGAGTTGTATGAAAAGTAGAATATAAACTACATTAGGTTTCAGTTGCTGGCTTCGTATTCTTAAGCAGACCTTAAGAAATTAGCTTAGTCATTGTTTGTTTTTTT